CTGCCATGGAAACGTTCGAAAATAATTATCAGTATCATTATCATACATATCTATTGATTTTGTAAACAAAGGTGGAGCGACCATTATGTGTGTTAGCCTGTGTTAACAACAAGAATCACTTTTCGCTTACTATTGTTAATGGGCGTCACTAGTTCTACAGATGAAAGCTCGCGGGGTTTTATGACGCGCCGTTACCAGAGATCATTATTTAAATTACAGGCATATTAATTTAATGTTAATTAGATCAGGGCATTTTGTAGTAGTAAGTAGTGGGGCAAATGTTCCAGTGTTAAAAATAAAAGGGATTACTGCTTTGTAAATTAAACATACATTATGCAAGAGCTAAATCTGCCTATTGCAGGTCTTTCTTTAGGCCTGAAATGTTATCTAAATTATTCGACATAATCAACTCTCGATGTCAACGCTAGCCTGTGATATGTACTGGATTAGGATCCGATTTGCTGCTCAACTTTCATTCATGATTAAATCATGAAATAGATAATCGGGACTATGTTTTTTATCGTACCGACTTTAGTAATGATGCTCGAGGCTAGGCCGAAAATTCAATCGCTAAAATCTCGGTTCAGAGTAGATCAATTTGACTGAAATTTTCAGCAAATTCCCTTTACATTATCTTGTTTTTAACTATTATAATGAGAACTACCAACTTTTTAGCAACGCGGCAATACTTATGACGTTGTCTAGTGAAAAACGCGCTTTTGTCCGGGGATGGAAAGTATAGATAATTAGTTAAAAATCACACTTTGTAACACAAAACTTTTCTTAGTATGCCGAGATTCCAACGGTTTTTTTTTACGTCCCGGGACAGACAACCTCCCTGGAGCCTCATTAGATAGTAAGTTAGAAGATTAGAATTTTAAAAATCCGTTAGATAATCTTTTGGGGAAAGTAGGAGGGGCTGCTTACGATTAGAATTGAAACGGGATAATCCCCGGTCGAGCATTATTTTCAGCCCTTTGTCACGGTAGCCTTTCAAATGTGTGTTTGGCCCTTTGACATCCCAGTACTGCAGTTGCTGAAGGTCATATACGTTACTTCTTAAGAGCGTATCCGCTAGAAGACCAGGCAAAAATCGCAAAATGTGCTAAGATGGGGGGTCGGAAGTTTTTGATCAAACTTTTATATGACACTGAAGTGGTTACAACCTGATGTCGCTATAAAGGACTGTACTGGAAATAGTCATTTTATGGGTAAATGTTTGGTTTTCAGTGTATTTATCACCATTTTAAAGCACAGATTGTATACTATGGTGCAATAGCAACCTTCTAATTTTGACCCTGTCTAATCTTTTGTGGACTATATTTACATTGCCACTGTAGTACAGAAAAAGATACACTGTAACTTTTCCTTTCATGGTCGCAAGTAGAATTTCTTCGGATGGATTTGAAGTGCTAAGCACATAGTATCAATAGATGTAAAACAATGACCGGAATGCAACATACTTAAAACATAGAGCTTATTGAAAAGTGCTAAAAAAAATAAGCTTTTGTGATACATTTATTTTCAAATTTAATTAGTGAAATGAATTATTTTACTTTTATACGTTTTCATCATTTCATAGCCATCATTTGTACCATGTGGTACTGTATATAAGTGTATAATATTTGCATTTATTGTATATTTTGTATTGTCGTATTGTCCCTTTAACATATTTGTTGTATTGTCTCTTTAAGGTTTCATTTTCTTACAGGTCACCGAAAATGGCTACAAAATGTTCAATTTCAGAGCATGTTTCCACTGTTCATTTTGGGACTCATCCACTGATTTCTACAATTCTACAATACAGAAATCAGGAAGCCTAAATTTTAACGGCAACGCAGCCTTGCGTCGAAGTGGGCGACGTTGAACAGTGTAGCATGGTAGCTACGGTTCTGGAGCGCCGTCAGCTACACCTTCAGGGTCGGATTTAGAATGAGAGAGGCCCTAAGCAATCCCCTGAACAGGGCCCGCGACATGGGCCTTGGGGCCCTGGGACAAGCAACTCGGTGAGGGGGTGGGTCGGGGGCAATCATGCGGTTGGTGGTTCGAATCTCACTTTTAGGTGAATTTTTCATTTTTGTTTGGATTATTTTATTTAAAATAATGTATATTTGAGAGTAATGGATATGTTTTGTTAAGATCATTTCATTGAGCCCGTCGATACTCCAATGGAAGCTCGTGGACAAGTATTTTTTAAAGGCATGTTTATAAAACAGATACTAATGTATTTTAGGGCTGGTAGTAAACACCATATGAATGAACAGAAAAAAAATGTTAGTTTTTTTTTATCTACTACGGTTAATTATCTCCAAAATAGGGAAATTACAGGTTAATTTCATGGGTAATTGTTTCCATTACCTAGTTTTTGTCAAGTCGATTCCGGTCATTTTTATTTTTTTGTATCAAATGTTGTTAGGTTGCTTGTTCACGAGAACATAAATTTTTTAAACCCACCCCATGAAACTTTGGGTGGCGAAAAATGGGGAATTTAGGTAGGCTTTGATATCCAGTCCGTATACAGATCTCGTTCGCCAGAATCGTCTGAAATTCATTTTGTGGTAACAGCACTAGGTCGTCTACAGACTATGTGATTTTGGTCTTTTTGCTACGTATAGTCAAGGTGTGAGGACTTGCCAAAGTTGTATGGAAGGGGATCGACGCCACATTAAAAGACATGTAAACACGAGTAGAAGTTACTATGTCAGCATATGAAAGTGTTGTTTTGATGATTTTTCCATGTTCGATTTTACAAAATAGAAAAGTATTGTCCACTAACGAAAAAACACATGTACAAATGCGCCTTGTAACGTTTGTATTTTCTACATCTGATCTTTCAACTGTTGTAATTTCTACTATAGTGCATAATCGACATATGTAACTTCGACATCGGTATTTTCTTCCAATGTAATTTCTCCACATGTCACATCCATCAAGGCGTGGTTCCGATTTTAGCCGAAGCTTGCGTCATAAAAACAAAACCCCTTCCATAGGTATTTGAGAAAAGACGGATTTTGGCAATTTCACCATATGAAAAATGTTTTTTTAATTTTCTGTCAGGAATTGAAAGATTTATATGATATTGCATATTTATGTGTTTTGAAACTATCTCAACTTATAAACCAAATTTGGCCAAAATCTGTGATCGAAGCCTTGGCACCTTCTTTAAAACTAAGGCTATAGTTCAGTTTCTTATGGAAGCCTATTGCGGCCATTTCAGAATCCCGCCGCGAGAAGTCGAGGGCGAGAACACACGAGGGAGCGGGAAGTCGAGGGCGAGAACACGAGGGGGCGAGAAGTCGAGAGCGAGAGTGCGAGAACACGAGGAAACAGGGCAAGAATGCGAGGATCTCGCCCCGAGAACACAAGATTATTTTCACCTCGACTTCTCGCTCCCTTGTCCCTTGAGTTCTCGCTCCCTCGTTTTCGCCTTTGAAAATCCTCGTGTTCTCGCACTCTCGCCCTCGATTTCTTGCCCTCGACTTCTCGCTCCCTCGTGTTCTCACCTTTGAAAATCCTCGACTTCTCGCTCCCTCGACTTCTCGCCTTTGAGTTAATCTCGTCCTCTCGCGTTCTCGCTCCCTCGCTTCGTCACAATCTCGACTTCTCATCGACTTCTCCCACCGTCACATATAATAACTTTTCATTTTCAACAGAATTATCAGTGGAATGAAATTCGATCGTGTGACTGTTGTCGCTCGTTACTTCAGTCAGTTATATAGAGGGATAACTCGTGTTTGTCGTCACTTCCCGTTTCTTCACATGCTTGTTACACATCTCCCGTAGCAATAATCTCTGTGTTAAAATTATATGTGGAACGTGTTTAACCAGTTCTATCACATATGTAATAATGGCTGACATCAATATTGTCCTTTAATGGATATGGATTCAAATAGACGGAAATGTTTGAAGTTCTAGAAAATTTAATAGTCCTGAACAATTTTAATCTCTTCTTGGTTTTGTATTCTGTAATCGATTTTTAGTCTTCAGTCAAATCTTTCTTTGCTTTCTAACTTCATCAACGTTCATCGGGTTTTTTGATACGTGGTCTTGTCATTACTACTTACACAGATTAGATATGTACATGCAAGACAACCCCGGTACGGGTTCCTCCTGTAAGTGGTACGGGATGGGAGTGGACTGGAAGGACAATAACCAGTCGTTCGGGGGGAGGCAAAACAATGTCAGTGGTACGGGATTGGAGTGGGCTGGAAGGACAATAACCAGTCGTTCGGATGGGAGGGAAAACAATAGTTTAAATAATATTTGATTCAACAAACGGAATCGGATTGAACAACAGGTACGCGGCTACATGGATGTAGGGGGCCAATCTCAGTTTAGGGTTGGGAGTTGGGAGTTAAGGGTTGGGTGGGGGGGGGGGTTGCTGAGCCTTTTGGCCCGAAAAATTCTTTGTCACCCAAATTTTCTGAATGAATCAATCATTAACTAAAATGAATTTTCCACAAAGCTGTTCAGATTAGATTTGGGGCTAAATTCCTAACAAATATTTGAATTGAAGCAAAGCATCTATATGTAATTTTTTCACTAAAATAGATATATGGCAAATGCAACGTTACGGTCTACTCTTTATTTCGAATTTAAAGTTCACAGCCCCCCCCCCCCCCACACACACACACACACTTCCTGCACCAAGAGGAAACAACGCTGGGAAGTTTGGGGAACTGTCTAGGTCAACACCCGGTAAGTGAGTCAGCCCTTTACTGAGTCACCGCGGCTCCCTTGCACACTGATGATGACACTGCATACTACCTGTACACGTACAATGCCCCCCCCCCCCCCAACTATAATGTATGACGTGTAATCATCTTCATTTTACGGGTTGGTGCAAAGCAGCAAGACAATAAACTCCTTTTGATTTTTTTCTCTTCATTACAATATTGTCACTCCCATTACAGTATTATTTAGTTTTGGCCATATCTATTGTAAGATGCAAATTATCAATATTTCGTTTTATTGTTTCATTTAAAAAGTCCAGTCTTAAATTTAGATGTAATTTTTAGTTGAAAAGAATTGTTAACCAGTGTTCTACTCTTTAAGTAAATTGCTATGCTAATTTGAGTCTGGTTGACCGTGTCTTGCGAGGTCGCCATTGACGAAGCATGGCTGCTTCCATGAAGCTGTGCTATTATTACGGTTATTTTCATTGTGGGATGACATAAAATACGGTGAGCACACAAATTATTATATAACTGTCGAGTATAGTTATTAGGGAAAGTATTTATATTACTGTTTTTAGTTGTCACATTCATAATTACTGGTTTTGGAAGAGTTTAGAATTGTCACATTATAGCGTCTATTCGGCATGGTTGCTGGGTAAAGGCCCTCTCATAAACTATGATATATATTTATAATGTTGACACTTGTTTAAGCCAAAACTTATTTTTTGTGGTTATTTCTCTATTCTTATGTACTTGGTATATTGTGTAGATAAATATGTATGTACGGTTGTACATTTTATCATGGAAATTTAAAGGTCACATAAGACAGTTAGGTTTGTTATTTGTACTGTGCTTATAAAGGCTGTCTCTGTATTTTCAGCCAATCACCATTGCTATCACCACCACTGTCACCATTGCTATCACCACCACTGTCACCATTGCTATCACCACCACTGTCACCACTACTATCACCGCAGTTGTAACAACCTTATTACTTTATGATGATAGAAATAAAATGGTGCAATGCCGTTCATTGTTAAACCTTTTGCTGTATTTATCAGGGCTTGCCACGAGACGCGAGCAGTTGCTCGCGCTCGCGCTGTGCTCGCGTAAATCTACATTTACGCGAGCGGTTCGTTGCTCGCGCAAAATTTTAAGAAAACCCTGTAAAAATAATCAAAATATTGACAAGTTTATTGCCGAAACTAAACCAACAATGTCAATAACTTCATAAATTCGTCTGTCAAACTGAGATTCACCCAGCTGCACGCGGCATTTCCTCCTTAAATTTGATTGGCTAAAAAGTTACTCAGCACTCTTGTTACTAAAAATACACTTTAGACCTGAACGTTATGACTGGTTTTCCTACGAACACCAGTAACGAACGCGTGATAATCGAGTCTAAAGTAAAGAATGTTTACATCCGGCATTAGGCATTCACGCTAAATGAACACGTTTCAAACTAATATTTACCGGTATTTCCTATTTTATCAGAACTTCGGTTTTTATTCCATTGTGCAGTCGTATAATTTTCAATCTAAGCGTAATAATGGCCAAAGGCAACCTGATTGCCCTATCCACATTTATTTCGTGGGGTGAAGAAATCCATACGGAAATTGGTTTTAATAAAGAAGAGTACGTATGACTGTCAAAAACAGAAAGCGATGGTCACACATGTTTACTGCAAACTTTGTGCCAGGAATAGCAATTTTCTTATGATTTTAAATTGAAACAATGTTACAAAATGTGTGCTCACGCAAACAACATTTTGCGTGAGCAATTTTTATTGCTCGCCTTGCTCGCCCAAACCTAAATTTGCGTGAGCAGTCATCTGCTCGCCATCAATTTATTCGTGGCCAGCCCTGATTTATCATTGGCGTATTCGTTATTCAACATGGAAGTTGAAACTGGAAACCAGTACTGGAAACCAGTACAGTGGAAGTACGTCTGTATTATTAAAAGAAGATATTGGTAATGCTAAAGCCAAACTGAACTCAGTGTTTAAATGTTTGAAGGACATAACTGAAAATGCCAGGCTGATGGTGGTTAATAATGAGGAAATTGTTGCAGTAAGGAAACAATATTGCGACTGGATGTGTTTGTATGAAGATTATATGAACACTCATGAATACTATTGTTCTTTTTTGTCTGTAGACGAAAGAGCTACCTATTATGATGAATATTATGATGAGCGCAAGATATACTTCGCTAACTTTAAATCTTCAATTCAAGAATGGTTTATGAAGGCTGAAGATGTTACGTCAAGCAAGGGATCGAGATCCAATAAGTCAAAATCAAGTTGTCATTCATCTCGATACAGTGCCATATCGTCTTTAAAGTTTAAAGAGGACCAGAATAAAGTTGAGTTAGCAGCACAATTTGAGGCCTTGAAACAACAGAAAGAAATTGAGGCTGCAAAACTAGATTTGGAATTTCGTGAAAAGGAACTGGCTTTAGTGACTAAAATAAATATTTCGAATGGTAAGGCCAAGTTGTTCGATGAATATAATAAGACTTGTAATAAATCCTCCGAAAATAACATTGATGGTCGTAAGTCTTCAAATGTCAGTGTTAGTGATAATCATGTTCCAGTATGTGATGATCCCTTAAAGTCTGTTAACGCTGATGAAAATACTACGGAAAAGCCAAACCTCAGAACTTCGACATTGCCGCACAATCAGAATATGAGTACCAGACAAGATTTTCTCAAGAGTTCGGAATTCTAGTACTCCATCTATAGGTTACAATGATTTAATCATTCCTGAGCAAGCTTCTAGGTATATGCCTAATGCTACACTTAACCCTCCAGATGCTTGCATACCTCATCAAAATCAACCCGAAGGGGCCTTGAACACTATGCTTCGTCAGATTAGAAAACCTAGCTCCAATATAAAGCCATTTAGTGGAAACGTACTTGAATATCAATGTTTTATTCGACAATTCAATTCAGCTGTTGTGGCGAACTGTGAGTCCATGGAAGAAAAGTTAAACTTTCTTGATCAGTTTACGACTGGAGATGCAAATAAAATTGTCCAAAGTTATTGTTATTTGAACCCAGATCAAGCTTATCCCTTGGTGTTAGAACAATTAGAAACTCGTTATGGTAATGCAGAGTTAATAGCTAATGCCTTTATAGAAAAAGCACTTAATTGGCCTATCATCAAATCCGACAACCCAAAGGCCCTTGATGAATTTTCCATGTTTTTGACGGAGTGTTTACATGCGGTTCAGAGCATTGAGGCACTTAACATACTAAAATATTCAGAAAATTTAAAGAAGACTCTTCAGAAGCTACCATACCATATTCACGATAAGTTTAGAAATGTTGTACAGTTGACACGCGATCAGGGAAATAGAGTGCACTTCGAACAGCTAGTTCGTCTTGTAAATTCGGAGGCAAGGAAAGTTAATGATCCCACCTTCGGTAAACAAGCCTTATCTGTTGACCGTTCTGTATCCGATAACCCACCAGTACCACGTAAGCCTTTCAAACCTAGAGGCTCTTTCGCGACTCAACTAACTGATAATTGGGTTAAACCTAGTCCTTCGTCAGACCGTAAACCCATTAATCCTCCAAAGGAATTTGAGACTGCCTTCAGCAAGCCATGTATATTTTGTAAACATCCTTCACACCCTTTCTGTACTTGTAAGCAGTTCTCAACATTGAGCTTTGAAGAGAAATCTGACTTTATGAAATCTGTAAGACTATGTTTCAGATGTCTGAAATCTGGTCATATGTATAAATTTTGCAGTGTCAAGACTAATTGTAGTAAATGTGACGGTTCACATCATTCTATTATGCATACAAACAGTAGTGTAAATCCTGGTGGTGAAATGAACTCAAATAAGTTAAAACCTGTTGTTATCAGCGCTCTGATGGGTAAAGATATGGAGGCCGGCACCACAGATTGCACTATGGCGATCATTCCTGTTCAAGTTAAAATGCGTGGATGTTTCCAGTCTTTCAAAACGTATGCCTTTCTAGACCCAGGCTCTAGTGTTTCTTTCTGCACGCTCAATGTTATGAAGTTGCTTGGTTGTTCAGGTAGAAGAACGAAATTGACTATAGATACCATGGGGTCGTCACACACTATGGTATCATATCTTATTAAAGGTATGCAGCTTGGTGACTTAACCTTAGAAACTGTGATTGATTTACCAGACATTTATACAAAGGATAATATGCCAGTGTCTCATAGAAACATACCCACTTCGGATGATATTCGTAAATGGGCTCATCTTAAAGGAATTCACTTGCCCGTTCTTGATGCAGAAATAGGTCTTCTGATAGGCAATAACGTTCCAGTTGCATACTCACCACTGGAGATTAAAACTGAACCCCCAGGAAGCCCCCACGGTGTCAGATCCGCACTTGGTTGGATCATATGGAACTTGGTCAGAGATTCGTCTAGATTGAGGCCTACTGTAAATAGGGCAGAAATTCAAGCAGTTCAAGACTTGGAGAATCTACGTCAAATGGTACAACAGACTGCTTCTTTAGATTTCCCCGAAAGAGCAATCGATGATGTCAAAGAGAACTCCCAAGATGACAACTCCTTTATTAAGAAAGTAAATAAAACTTTGAAGTTTGAAGATGGACACTACACGATTGGTCTGCCCTTTAGAAAAGATCAAGTTTCATTACCGAACAACAAATCACATGCAGAATGTCGTCTTAACAGTTTAGTTAATAAGATAAAAAGAAATCCCCTTTATCATCAGAATTATACTGAGTTTATGGATAAGGTCATAACCAACGGATATGCAGAACAAGTACCAGAACATCAGTTAGATCGTAATGATGGTAAAGTGTGGTACATCCCACATCATGGGGTCTATCATGCGAAAAAACCTAATGAAATTCGTGTAGTATTTGACTGTGCTGATTTGTACTCTGGTATATCCCTAAATCAACAGTTACTGCAGGGACCCGATATGACGAACAGTTTGATAAGTGTATTAATTCGCTTTCGTCAGGAAAACATCGCTGTAATGGGTGACATTGAAAAAATGTTTTATCAGGTCCGCGTTCCTGAATGTGATCAGGACTTTTTGCGCTTCCTTTGGTGGCCAAATGGTAATTTGAATCGTAAGCCTGTAATTTATAGAATGGTCGTCCATCTTTTTGGTGCAGTTTCGTCACCTTCATGCGCTAATCTAGCCTTACGCCAGACTGCAATCGATAACGCACATCTATTTGATAAAGCTGTGGTCACATCAATTCTCAAGAACTTTTATGTGGACGATGTTTTGAAATCTCTTAGAGAGACTGATGATGCTATTAGTTTTGTTAAGGACCTTTGTAATATTTGTAAAAACGGTGGTTTTCGTCTCACTAAATAAACGGGATGTCCTGAATTCGATATCCATCAATGAAAGTGCCAAAGATATCAAGGAATTGAACTTAGATTGCGAGCCACTACCTTTAGAGCGTGCCTTAGGTATCAACTGGGTTGTTGAAACTGATGTGTTGAAATTCAATGTGAACATTAGTACCCTACCTGCAACAAGACGCGGAATTTTATCAGCTGTAAGTTCGGTATATGATCGGTTGGGATTAGTTTCTCCTTTTATACTACCAGCTAAGTTACTATTACAGCTACTATGTCAACTTGAACTTGGTTGGGATGACGTTATATCTGACAAAGAGCTTCAGAGATAGCAGTTATTTTTGAATAATTTAGGCTACCTAGAGAGATTTGACATTCCACGAACTTATAAACCTGATGATTTTGGTGAGATTACGTCCTACCAAATACACGCGTTTGCAGATGCAAGTGACATTGCTTATGGTGTCGCCATTTACCTGAGAATTGTGAATGTTGACAATAAAATACACTGTGCTCTTTTATTTAGTAAATCTCGCGTGGCCCCACTGAAGAAACTGACTGTACCTAGGTTAGAATTGACTGCTGCTACTATTGCTGTTAGGTTGACAAATATGATAGTGAAAGAGTTGGAAATCACTGTTGATGAGCTATTCTTTTGGACAGATAGCATGTCTGTGTTGCGCTACATCAGAAATGAAGGTGCACGCTTCCTTACATTTGTCGCAAATCGCATTGCCGTTATTCGCGATGGTAGTTCTTTATCATCTTGGCACTACATCAGCACTCGGCTTAATCCTGGTGACGACTGCTCCAGAGGACTGAGTTTTAATGATAGTTCACGGATAAAACGCTGGTTTAATGGACCCAGCTTCTTGTACAAGCCCATGAGTGAATGGCCAACTGATGAAGGCTTTTCACAACACATACCAGATGGTGATCCTGAAATAAATAAGACAACGGCTGCAACTGTTGTTGACAACTCGGCGAACATTGTAGATAGGTTGCTGTCACATTATTCCTCCTGGTTAAAATTAAGAAGAATTATCGCTCTCCTGTTAAGAGGATTTGACAATCTGAAGTATTGGGTCAACAGTAGAAAAGAAGTCTATTCTAATTTGAAAGACGGTAGTCCTGATGATGATCTGTTAAAATCTAAAGTTACAGAAGAGATAAGGAAGATGAAAAAGGAAGCTAAGAAGTCTATTTATCAACAGATAAATCCAGAAATCTTTAAAAGGGCTGAAACTGCTATCTATCGTTACGTTCAGCATCGTCATTTTAGTGCAGAAGTAGAACAGCTGAGCAGTGGTCTGCCTGTGAAGAAAACAAGTTTTCTGAGAAAACTTGATCCTATGCTACATGATGGTCTATTACGAGTCGGTGGCCGGTTAACTCGTTCCGATTTGTCATATGATGCTAAGCACCCCATAATTCTTCCCAAGGATTCATCACTTTCAAGAATGATCATTGACAGTGTGCACCGTTCAGTAGGTCACTTGGGTAAATGTGCCATATTGTCTCAGCTACGTCAGAAAATCTGGATTATCCATGCCCCAGCTTTGATAAAAAATACTGTTTCTAAATGTGTCACTTGTAAGAAGTATACAGCTAAAGCTATGGAACAGAAGATGGCAGACCTGCCTTCAGAACGTTTGAAACCAGACGAGCCACCTTTCTCCCAAGTTGGTATGGATTATTTTGGCCCTATAGAAGTGAAACGTGGTCGCTCCATGTTAAAGAGACACGGTGTGGTTTTCACTTGTCTTACTACACGAGCGGTACATCTCGAAGTGGCTTACAGCCTAGACACAGACTCGTGTATTAACTCTATAAGACGTTTCATTTCACGTCGTGGTCCTATTAAATATACTATTCAAAAAAAGTAGGGGATATTTGATTTTTAAGTGTTATTAAAGTCACCTAATGAAACTGACGAAGAAACAAATGACAAAATGAAATGAAGTTCACATTCATCGATTTATTCCAAATGATCGTTAGACTAAGTAAGGCACAGACTGACCATTATAAGGGTAAAATGATACCCGGGGTCAAACAGCAAAGTTACCACAGCATCACAACCAAGTCAGTAACGGGTAAATCCTCCTCTGTTTGCCAAACAAGCATTGATCCGACGTGGCATACTCCTAATGAGACGTCTAGGGTCATTTTGGTCCAGATTGTCCCATTCCTGTTGCAACGCAGCAGCAAGTTCTTGGACATTGGCAGGACGTTGTTGACGTTGACGTAACCTCTGTCCAAGCATGTCCCAGACATGCTCGATGGGGGAGAGGTCGGGACTCAGTGCTGGCCAAGGTAATGTGGTGATGTTCTGTTGTTGGAGGTAACCTGTAACGATCCTGGCCCTGTGACATCTTGCGTTGTCATCCTGGAAGATGAAACGGCGGCCATGACGTCGTGCGAACGGCACAACATGGACTGCCAAGATGTTGTCCCGGTAGTACTGGCCTGTAACACGCCCTGCAACAACATGTAAAGCCGTTCTTCCAGCAACAGTGATGCCTCCCCACACCATAACAGAACCACCCCCAAATCGATCATGTCTGATGACGTTAACGTCTTGGAAGCGCTCGTTTCGACGACGCCACACCCTCCTACGTCTGTCCAAAAAATCAACAGTGAACCTTGACTCATCTGAAAACATCACATTGCTCCAGCGTCGATTATCCCAGTGTTGACGATCCCTACACCAACGACGTCTTGCCTGAATGTGATGATCTCTCAAACAAGGGATCACGCGAGGACGTCGGGCGCGAAGGTGACCCCTATGCAGTCGATTCCGAATCGTCTGGCCACTCACTCTCACACCAGTGTCTGTTTGAAGACGAGCGCTGATCTGATTTGCTGTGATGACACGATTTCTCAAGGCCAAGGTACGGATAAATCGATCCTGGGCTTGAGTTGTCGCCCTTGGTCGACCTGAGCGTGGTCTGTCCTGTACAGATTGTGTATCACGGTATCTGGACCATAGCCTGCTTATGACAGACTGAGAAACATTCATCGTCCGCGCCACAACCGCCTGTGTTGTGCCGATCTGTAGCATGCCAAGGGCACGTAACCTTTCATTTTGGGTAAGCCGACGCATATCACAATTTGTTTTCTGGTCACTAAAACAATTAAACTGATGTTTCCACCCTGGAATTCAATGCCACAATGACTGTAACATTCAAAGTCAGAGTCGTGCAAATCTTGGGTTGGACCCCCATGATGATCCCAAGCATCACCTGCATTCCATGCGGTAGCTATTGGTGCGTTTGGGCGTCACATGTAACTGGAAATGTTTCTTCTGTTAGGTTCTATAGTGACTTTTTTCGTAGTCATTTGCATATTTTAGTATTATGCCCCCAAAATCAAATATCCCCTACTTTTTTTGAATAGTATATTTAATTTCTGACAATGGTACCAATTTAGTTGGTTCAGAGCGTGAACTCCGTGAGGAAATCAACAAATGGAATGTCTCAAAAATTGGTAACGAGCTTTTGCAACACAACATAAAATGGGACTTCAATCCACCATCCGCGTCAAACTTTGGAGGAGTCTGGGAAAGATTAATCCGTATTGTGCGCAGAATTCTGTATGGATTACTAAGTGAACGTTTAGTGACTCTTGATGATGAAAGTCTTCAAACCTTTCTGTGTGAGGTTGAATCCATAATGAACTCGCGCCCCATTACTAAAGTGTCAAACAATGTAAATGATCTTGATAGCTTCACACCAAATCATTTGCTGCTATTACGTGCAGGTGAATCTCTGCCTATTGGAAGTTTTGATAAAACAGATGCTTACGCGAAGCGACGATGGAGACAGATTCAGTATTTGTCTTATATATTCTGGAAACGCTGGTCGAAGGAATATCTGCAACTTCTCCAAGAGCGACAAAAGTGGGTGAAATCCAGAAGAAATGTTTGTGCTGGGGATATAGTTTTGATACTCGATGGAAATATTCGGTCTTCCTATACTCTAGGACGTGTTGTAAATGTGCACCCTGATAGAAATGGTCTAGTGCGTGTTGTGACTGTCAAAACCAAAACAAGCACTCTGGAACGTCCAGTAAATAAGTTGTGTATGCTGTTGGAATCCGATTTGTAGTATCTGATTTCATTGTAGTATACATGTATGTGACATTGTTGGACTGTTGGATAGAAGAAACTGTGTAGGTTAACCTTTATGTTGCATGGACTGTATTGGAATAAGAAACATGTGGCACTATTGGGACAACTGTTAATGAATTCCGTGAGATGACAATCTGTGAAAGTTTTGATGAGGTGACTGTTATTTTATGAAAGCCTTATCAGAATGACTGCTATGAAAGTCTCATTGGAATACTGTAAAATCTACTTGTAACATTATTTGTCACAGTTTCATTATAACATCTAATATAGACAACCATATGTTAGATTGCCTAAACTATGTTTTATATAAGAAAGTATAAATTATTACATTGTGTTTGAAAATTTGAATTTAATTTAATTCAGGTTTTATGTTGTTAGTCTACATATATTTCTAGTTAGAAACCGTTTTTGAAATGTAGATTAATTCTGTGTTTTATCTTATTATGATGTACTTTAGAGTTTAATTTGTTAGTAATCATTATTGACATTAAGTCCATTTAGTTTTAAGATTGGTTTAAGGGGATAATTTGCTCTTTGTTAGAGTGTTTATAATCGTTCCTTGACTATGCACGATTAGGAGGCCGGTGTAAGATGCAAATTATCAATATTTCGTTTTATTGTTTCATTTAAAATGTCCAGTCTTAAATTTAGATGTAATTTTTAGTTGAAAAGAATTGTTAACCAGTGTTCTACTCTTTAAGTAAATTGCTATGCTAATTTGAGTCTGGTTGACCGTGTCTTGCGAGGTCGCCATTGACGAAGCATGGCTGCTGCCATGAAGCTGTGCTATTATTACGGTTATTTTCATTGTGGGATGACATAAAATACGGTGAGCACACAAATTATTATATAACTGTCAAGTATAGTAATTAGGGAAAGTATTTATATTACTGTTTTTAGTTGTCACATTCATAATTACTGGTTTTGGAAGAGTTTAGAATTGTCACATTATAGCGTCTATTCGGCATGGTTGCTGGGTAAACTATGATGTTTATTTATAATGTTGACACTTGTTTAAGCCAAAACTTATTTTTTGTGGTTATTTCTCTATTCTTATGTACTTGGTATATTGTGTAGATAAATATGTATGTACGGTTGTACATTTTATCACCGCAGTTGTAACAACCTTATTACTTTATGATGATAGAAATAAAATGGTGCATTGCCGTTCATTGTTAAACCTTTTGCTGTATTTATCTATTTTAGTGAGAAAACTAAATATCTGTCGATGCTATGTTTCAGTTTAAATATTTGTTAGACCTTTATTAGACCTTTATCCTCAAATCCAATCTGAAAAAAGTTGAACTTATATAGGCCCTTGCCTGTAGTTAAATCTTATTCAGTTTATCGAATAAATTCTTTAAACAAAATACTGTTATCAATAATTATCGATATTTTCCATAAAGGGAGATAATTCATTTTACCATAAATGGAATTCCATTATGTTTTCTGCATTTTGCTTTAAATCAAAATTTAGCATCGGATGTTTTCGTCAATATTTAATTTATGTCAACTTCACAATTGTTAGTATAAATATAGCATTTACCTGACAATTATCACATTGTTCATCTGGCCCTAAATCGAGTTAGTGGAAACTTTTTGCTTGGAACTCTCTGGATTTGTGTTCTTGGTCTTATAAGCTTTCCAAAAATGTACAGTTTATTTATTAGGGAGGACTTTGTAGCGGAACTTCACGCTAAAAATTTTGCATGCGGGGCCTATATTGTGTTCCAAAGTATCGACCAATCAAATTGCTTAATGCTCTGCTTACCCTGAGCAGAAAATGCTCATTATCGAACTTAATCAAGGTATTGATGTGATAAAACTATACACAAGTTTCCTCACTCCCACTTAATTTGAACTAAAATTATTGTGTCCCAAACCATCAACCAATCAAATCGCTTATCTCTGCTTACCCTAATCAGAGAATTCTCATCTTCGAACTCCATCATGGCATTCGCCTAATAAACATCTTCGCCAAGTGTGAACATTCTAGCTAAATTAGAATGAGCGTTATTGTGTTCCAAAGTCTCGACCAATCAAATTGCTTATCGCTCTGCTTACCTTGAGCAGAAAATGCTCATTATCGAACTTAGTCGAGGTATTGTTGTAATAAAACTATACACCAAATTTCATCACTCTCACTTAATTAGAACTAAAGTTATCGTGTCCCAAAGCATCAACCAATCAAATTTCTTACCTCTGCTTACCCTATAAGCAGAAAATGCTCATCTTCGAACTCCATCAAGGCATTGACCTACACCAAGTTTGAACATTTTAGGTCAATTAAAAAGAGAGCTATTGTGTTCCTCGACCAATCAAATTGCTTATCGCCCTACTTACCTGAGCAGAAAATGCTCATTATCGAACTTAGTCGAGGTATTGATGTAATAAAACTATACATAAAGTTTCATCACTCTCACTTAATAGAACTAAAGTTATCGTGTCCCAAAGCATCAACCAGACGGGCGGACCGACAGACGGACGAACCCATTTTAATAGTCCCCTGCTGTCTTCGAAAGGCGGGGGACAATAAATTAAAATCAGTGCAACAAACAGTGTTTAGGGCTACTCTAAAACTAGTTACTCTGCTTTTGGGTCAATTTTCTTTTCTTGGCCTAATTTGCTCTAGGCTATTAGTTTTTGGGACGTAAATTTTTGCGAGTGCAACGGATTGAGCTTAGGCTAGATGGGCATTGGGTTGAATTTATTTTGCCAAACCATATAATTAAAGATGGGTTCCCGCGTACAAACTGGGTGATTTAATGGTATATATGGACTAAAAACATATTCAAACTAATTAATTTGTCATAATTTTGCTTCAAAGCCTTCTCAACCATTGTAATTGTCAAGGAATGCCCTGCTATAAAAATTCGATCAAACCAGGTCATGTTTATGTCACGTGACTTACCTCTCTCAGAAGTCAGAGGAGAATTCATTGCATACATAAGACGATGTTGTCTTTAATCGCTTACTATTTAATACAAATATCGAATCCTAATTAAATTCTCGGATTATCCACTACCCGCGTCTTTTTCCGTCATTTTTATCTCAGAAAGTGTTGTACGTCTAACTCTTAATAAAGTTTATCAACTTGTACATCAAGCGCTCAATGTTCGCGTGTGACCTTTGACATCACGCGTGCAGAAATTCCTAATCGTCGGGCTGTCGATTAGGGGAACCCTTACATTTTTGTCCTGTATACGCTCCATGTGTGTTTTTCGGGGAATCCAGTATTTTTCTAGTAAGATTGGATATCTTTACTTTCCAATATATGCCAAAATTGCCATACTTTTATTGGAAATAACCACCCGATAAATACTTTGGGAGGAACCCATCTTTAAGGTTATATTTGACACTATATTTAAGGTCGCTGTATTCATGGACTAAATTAGCCCCCCCCCCCACTCTACGGCGATCGTAGGCACCCGGCTTCGTAGGCTAGGCCTCAATGGAATTTGTTCGGGCGCAGAGGCCGAGAAATATTTGCAAATCATATATTTTTATGCAGGTAAACAATATCCAGAATCATTGCAACACAACATGAAGACTAAAAGTCGACAGATCCCAAACTTATCTTATTTTCAGGACGGGGGGCACGACGGCTAAGTGGGTAAGACACTGGCTCGCTAGCCTGGAGGTCGGGTCTTCGATCCCTGCATTGGCCGAGAAAGTTCAATCCGATTTTCCGGCGTGCCCCCCCCCCCCCTTTTCAGTGATGCAGGACGGCGGGCCTGACAAGGACAACTGTCTAGTCATTCGAATGGAATGAAAAACCGAGGACCCGTGTACACATTGGTGTGCACGTAAAAGATCCCTTGACAGTTGGAATTCGATAGGAGTAGGTCATAGTGCGGCTGTCCGGGCAAAATTTCCCTAATAGCACACTGAATGGCGTATGCCCGTCTTCATTAGCCCAGTTCGGAGCAGAACAGTAGGACGTTAAACTCCAATTCTTTTCATTTATTTTGAGGACAATAAATGAAAGTTATACATGAAATAATAATGTTTCACATTTAATAATTGATTTCGATTATTGCTATATCCATAAAGCTTTGTCTTGTTTATATTTAATTTGAACCGATGTCATGACATTTTAATGTTTATGTAATATATAATCCTGGCAGTAACGATGCGTGATATCAAAATTCACATTGCTGAATCCACTCCAATGTGTAGGCTACTTAGAATTTTTAATTAATACAACAAAATTGAATGGTTTATTATAAGTTAATAATTTATTATTTATACCTGGACGTGTGTTGTCTTTCACGTAAAACAAATTTCCGATGGGATAATAAAGTAGTATCTGATTCTCTGTTTTTTGTGGGGGGTTTTGTTGGGGGGTTTTTTTTTGGGGGGGGGGGGTAAAAAATAAGAAACTTTACTTACTCCACACAACCATTAATTCATTTCAATGTTTTGGGCTAACTAATATCGCGTCACTGGCTTTATAATGATAAAATGACGTCATGCCGTCTTCGGTTCATTAAAGCATAGAAATAGAATACTAGTTCTATGATTAAAGCTTCTTGGTTACCACGGTATTAATATTCCAATGACTTTCAGGAATTATCTATAGTTTCGCACAAGTCGGGGATAAATACTGTTTCATTTCATGCTAATTATTGTGTGGGTCCAATGGTTTAAATAGTAGCGGACGTTTGTTATTCATTCCACCCGCTCACTTCAACGGCTATATTGTGTTTTGTTAAACTCAGCTTTCGACGATGAGGGTCAAGGTTATAAAACGTCCGCTCACAACAGCTCAACGCTATTGTGCAGCAGCCAGAGAAAAGAATATGCTTAAACTGCAAACAAGACATCGACCCATCACAGGTCTCAAGTTCTACTGAATTATATATTATGATGGATGGATTTTGAGCTTAAGGGAACTAATATAAAGTGTCATTCGGCTTATTCTGCACAAGTCGACATCACGACTACGCCCTATGCTATAGTCGATAGAGTAGAGTAGGCCTAATTACTACTATTAGAGGTACGTACCTGATATAGTACCCAAAATTCTAACATGCTATAGTCTAATTTCTATTCTTGTAATTTCTAACTATATAATCCAACTTCTTTATTTGTTATATAGAGATCAGTGGGTAGAAGTATCAAAATTCTAAATTTGATCGACGTTCATGATTGGCATGTAAAGCGACAATAAAGTAAACATTTTCGTCTGAATGATAGAACCTTGACCCTCATCGTCGAAAGCTGGGTTTAACAAAACACAATATTCCAAATGCGAAATTCCAAATTCCAAATGCGAAATTCCAAATTCCAAATTCCAAATTTATGTCTTACCGATAAAATAGCAAATTGGCAGCCCCCCCCCCCTCAATTAAACAAATTAGAATTTATATAAATTGTAATTTTACACAACTAATTACTTCAAGTGTACCTATCTGGGCCGGATAAATACCCGTTCCAAATTACTAGATTCCAAATTCCAAATTCCAGATTCCAAATTACAAATTCCAGATTCCAAATTTCAGATTCCAAATTCCAGATTCCAAATTCCAAATTCCAAATCTGATCCGACCAATCGGATCAGGTTTTTGCTTTTGACTAATCACTTAGAGAGAGAGAGAGAGAGAGAAACGGGGTTTAACGTCCACTCGACACAAATGAAATGAAATGAAATGAAATGGAGTTTAACGTCCTACTTTTCTGCTCCTAACCTGGGCTAATGAAGACGGGCATACGCCATACAGTGTGCTATGAGGGAAATTTTGCCCGGCACTCGACACAAACTATGTCATTTCGGGACTAACATATGGTTTTAATTTTATTTCAATAATTCGCTTGCGCGTAGGGGTCTTTAGCAGTGGGAGGAAACCGGAGGACCCGGAGAAAACCCACGAGGTTGGACAGGCCACCCTACTCCTTGTCACGTACAACCGGGGATTCGAAACCACGCCAGTTGACTCAATGACAGGCCGTATGATCCAGCACGCACGTGCTAACCATTCGCCCCCCCCCCCTAATCAGTTAGAGTATAATAACAATATTCCAGTTCGGGTTTGCTTCGGCAGAATATGTGAACAGTTTGGGGCAAAGTTCCTCTGCAGTGAGCTCCTCTGCTACTCGGTATCCTAGGACTGGCATTTTTTTTTTTTTTTTTTTTTGCTACAGCAAATTTGGAATCTGGAATTTGGAATTTGGAATCTAGAATTTGGAATGAGCCTTCTGGGCTTTCGTACTTATTTTCTCACTATGATGTTCCTTACATTGTACAGGCGTTCACACGGATTGACACCCCACCGCTTAGCAGTAAAAAGTTGCCCAGTAAGATTGACTGGGGCGGATCTCAGTTTCGACAAGGATTGAATAGGAAAGTTCCTGAACGTACAGGGCGAGTGTAATGAGACCTACTTTCAGAGCTGAACTAATTTAAAAGTTACATGAATAGAAGTTAGAAATTACATGAATAGAAGTAGAAGTTAAGAATTACATGAACAGAAGTAAGAAATTAGACGATAGCACGTTAGAATTTTGGGCGCTATTGCAGTTTCGCACCTGTACCAGGGGGGCGTTAAAGGGGACTAGACGTCTAGACATGACCTCACATCAAATTTCAGCCGAATCGCTCAATAACTTTTCATTTTACCGACCTTTTCGAGGGATACGTTTATCCGATATTTTGTTTGTTGACTAATTAGACTCGAATGTCAAGACACGAGTACGGATTCCGACACACCACGCTCTCTGCCTAACCCTGCAACCGTGGAAACTGGTAGAGGCGCTAAAGTGTACAATCGCCTTTTTAATACACCCATAAGTGGACGATTATTGTCGTCACCCTTGTCCGTCCGGACGTCTGTGCACAATTTGTTTGTGGAGACTCTACCGGTTACAAATTTTGGACGAAACTTGAAATAATAGGTCTATCTCCCAAAGATCTCGGTTCCTTTCAAAATTCGCATGTATCGAACCATAACTTCATGGATTATGGCTCCTGGTTGTTCGAAAAATCACGTTTGTAACTTGTGGTCACTCTAGATGTCACAATTTCCATCCGATTTTGATGAAACTTGAAATGCATATTTATAAGCCAACGATCTTGGTTCGTTGAGATATTCGCGCATATCGGATCGTAACTTCCTGAATTATGGCCCTTGATTTTACGAAAAATCGCGTTTTAGCACCTGGTTCCTCTAGAGGTCACACTTTTTATCCGAATTAAAAAAAAAGAAAATCGTTCAACTATATCACCGTTACACCATAATGTCGGTTGAGTTCGAATTTCGTGAAAATCGGACCAAAACTATCTGACAAAATGGCCGTTCCTCATATATACGCAAATAAATGAATCCAAACTAATTAACTAGAAAAACAATATGCAAATCCATTTTGAATCAACCACTTAAGTCGACCAACCTTGGATGTATTGCGGTACTAGGAATCTTCCCACTAACGCTAAACACTTATACCCGCATGCTTATGTATCTTAAAAAGCTAAATGATGTCAGGATGAAACAAATATTTCCTCTACTTTCAACAGCCCTTACTGAAGATAAAACTATATCCTCTAAAAATGAAAAATTGTCTTAATTTAACATCGGAACTCCAAATAAATCATGTTCATTTGCTAAATATAAAGAAATCCATCGAATCAAAATTTAACTCCTTCTAGTTCTAACACATATCCTCTAACTCGAATAACAGCAAATTACGTACATATTTCATTTCTAAACCTACTCTTACGAGAAATAGAGAGGGGCCGATACAAAAAAAATCCTGCTGATTAGCGTCTATGCAAATTTTGCGATTTAAACTCGAACGAAACCGAGCAACATTTTTTGCTAAACTGTAGCAAGTATGAAGAAATACGTCTAGCCCAATTATACCCAGCCTTCTCTGTAAATCCTCAGATTTCCTACCATTTTCTTAATCTCTTTAACCCACCTAAATCGACTGCCAAGGCAGTGGCTTAAAATGTGTTTTTGGCTTTTGATAAGAGAGCTAAATCAAATTTGGTGGCAACTGCATGTAACTGAAACCCCTTAGATATACATGCACTATACTGTTTGTATGAATGTATTTTGTTGTCTATGCATATATTATTAAATGTATATGACTATGTCTAAGTGCATATGTATGCAGCTGTCCATAATAGGCGTTCTGATGCAATCTTATCTTATCTATGGTATATCAAGGTTGTGGGCCTTCTAAAGGTCATAATTTTGATCCGATTGTAAATTTATGTTCATATCACAAAGATCTCGGTTGCTTTCAATATTTGTGCATATCCGAACGTAATTTCCTGGATTATGGTCCTTGGGTGTTCGAAAAAATCACATTTTTAGCTTGTGGACACGCAAAAAGTCACAATTTGTATTCAATTTTAAAAAACAAACGTTTAAATACACCATCGTTACACATCAGTGAAGGTTGAGTTCGAATTTTGTAAAAATCTGACCGAAACTGCCGGATAGAATGGCCGCTCCTTGTACGCAAATAGCGTAAAAGTATGTAAAACAAAGGCTGTGAACCCTGTTCCTGTCGATATTTGCGCATATCAGATTGTAATTTCCTGGATTATGGTCCTTGATTGTACGAAAAATCGCTGGTGGATCCTCTGAAAGTCACAATTATTATCCGATTTAAAAACCGTTTAAATATATCATCTTTTCACCATAATGAAGGTTCAGTTCGAATTTAGGAAAAATCGAAACGAAACTGCCGGACAATTTTGTCTCCCCTTGTACGTAAATTGTGTAAAAGTATGTAATACGAAGGTTGTGGACCCTGTAGAGGTCTTAACTTCTATCCGATTTTGATAAAACTTAAAATGTATCTCTATATCGATATTCGCGCATTTCAGACCATGTCTTCATGGGTTATGGCTCCTGATTATACAAAAAAAGGGTGGGGGATCTGTCGTGTTGGTAGATTATTCCATAAAACAGAGGTCTGAAAACTAAAAGAACGTTGACCATAAGCGACTAGTTGAATAGTTGTGGGCTTTCCATAATATGAGAAATCATTAACACGAATTAGAATTGAATATTGATCAGTGTTATCTTGCCGTGAAACTATAGGATCCTAATATTCAATATTTAAGACAATTAACATTTTATAATCAGTACACAAGCCGTGTACCCTAAGGTTTCTGGTGCCATTTTGTAATGGGCAACTAAAACATATCCTACAACAACACAGTACTGAAGTAATTAGTAAAGGCTGATTCACAAACGACAAAATAATAATTTAAAAGACGTGTAGAATGCACTAAGTAGGCGTAAACAACTGCCGTTCAATTTGAACTGTTCACGTATTTCACCGAGCATAATTGATTAGAAATTATAATATTTTATTTTTCAAAACATGAATATAAATCACTTTACATGCAGTCATATAACATCAATATGTATTTTTAGAACCATGTTTGTCTATTTTACGATTCCAAAAATAGAGCCATACACCCTTTAAAAGCAGTTTATCTGATTTATGGCATAAATAAAATAAAACCAAGTACGAACAATCCAAACCATTAGACAAAATTCGAAGTCCTAAAAAACGGTATAGGCAAAATAGTGTAATCATCAAAATGGACATTATTTGATTGTATTTTTTTTCTTTTCAGGTTTTGGTCATCAAAGGCGGAAACTTATTACAAGCACAAGATCTATCAACGATGAAGAAGAAATTAGATCTGCAAAATCATTTCATGAAATTCCAAGTCCCCAGGGCCTACCATACATTGGTAACTTACACAAGTACATCGTGGGATCTCTTAATAAATACAAATACCAAAATGTTCTAAAACAATATTTTGATACGTATGGGCCCATTTTTAAACAGACATTAGCTGGCAGAACCACCGTCCATATTTGTCACCCTTCGATGTTTCAAATCGTGTATAAGGATGAAGGAAAGGTTCCAACAATTCTTCCACTGTTAGAAACCAGTAAGAAATTTCGTACAGAAGAGAAAATGTCACCAGGTCTGGGTAACACCAATGGAGAAGAGTGGTATAGACTTCGTACAGCCGTTCAGAAACACATGATGAAACCAGGAGAAGTTTCGGCATATTTAACCCAGACAAATGAAGTTGCAAATGACTTTGTGGAGAACTTGGCACGACTAAAAAATGTGAACAATTTTCTACAGGAATCTTCAAAATGGTCTCTAGAAACGTCTGGATACAATTGCTTTGGTAGAAGACTTGGTTACTTACATCAAGGAACAGAAAGCGAACAAGAAGCATTAAGAATCATTAAAATGAATGATATTCAATTCTCTCTTTCAACAGATTTAAAATTTTCTTTACCCTTATATAAGTATTATAAAACAGCTACTTACAAAAAACTCTTTGAAGCTGAAGAAACATTTACTGGCATTGCAGACGCGTATCTAGATGAAGCATTGCAAAATATTGACACCCAAATTACAAATGGAAATGATGAAACTATAGCACAAGCTCAGGTGAAATACAAGTTTATTTTAGCATTAATGCAATCGAAAAACATAAGCAGAAAGGATATTGGTACTATAGTACTCTCATTATTTGGGGATGGTTTAAGGACAACTGTGCCTGCTTTAGTTTCCACAGTTTATTGTTTGGCATCATCACCACGGGCGCAACAGACTTTATTTGAAGAAGTCAACAGTGTTATAGGAAAAAAACAGGAAGTAACTGTTGAAGATGTTGCTAATTTAACTTATTTGAAAGCTTGTGTTAAAGAAGCACTTCGCCTGTTCCCAATTGGTCTTGAGGTTGTACGATTAAATAACAAAGATTTAGTACTTAGTGGTTTTCATATTCCTGCAGGAACTGTCATTGAAATGAACAACTTTAATTTATTTTCTAATAGCAGTTATTTCAAGGATCCAGAATCTTTCATTCCAGACAGGTGGCTAAGGGGGTCAGATGTCTCAGTTGTTGATCCTTACATTGTGATGCCTTTTGGAAGAGGGCCACGCATGTGTGCAGGTCGCAGGTTTGCTGAACAAGACCTTTATGTTTTGGTCAGTAAACTTATTCAAAAGTTCAAACTAGATTGGCAGGGAGGTAACTTTACCCAGGAATATAAAATTTTAGTATATCCAGACTGTGATACACCCTTTAAATTTGAACCAAGGTAAAAGATGAACAATGGAAGAGTCTTACAGAACAATCTTGGTGTCCACTATTTCAGCATGTTTAATTTATACTTTGATTACTTTTGTTCAATAAACATTATTTTAGATCAGATACGTACGAATGTCTCTTTAAAAGCACAAAAAATAAAAACAAGAAAAATAAATTGATAAAAGGGGGGGGGGGGCTATCGACACCACACTAACAAACGGTTTTTTTATTTGTTGTCCTTTATATTAAATTTAATGAACCAAACCGCATATACTTAAATCGATATTAGGCTTATGCCAGTCGGAAAAACTGTAACCATTCAGTAATTATGACATTTTATGCTTCGTTTTAATTATATATGACTAAGAACAGAAACGTGTAATATTCAAGTATTTATGTACAGTTTTAAACATTTTAGCGTTTTCATATGTATTACAATTTTACCTAAACAGTAAGGATTGGCTGTTTTTGTTTTTCATCGGAAGTGTATCAATTGTTTCTTTTCTAGCTTTTAGAAATATAGGGCAGTGGAAGATAAGGTGTTCACAATCCTCTATAGCATTTCCACAGTGGCAAATAGGGTCATCTGATATATGCATTTGGGTCACTTTTGAGATTTCTGAATTTACAGTGAAGAATTTGATTTTGTCTATCGCCTATATAATAAATTTCGGGTGCTGGCTGTACAGAATTATTTTGCCCGATCTTTGATTTAAATTGTTATAGCGTTCCTGATTTTCGTATGTCGCTAGCAAGACTATTCCAAAAGAGTTTTGATAGTGTGAGATTCTGCAATTTATTTCTTTAATATAGTCAGAGTTTCTCAATTTGTATGGTTGATGTGATGAAATTTGAGGTGGTATGAGATTTGATGTAATTTGAGGTGGTATGAGATTTCAGAGGAATTTCGGAATAAGATTATTCATTATCTTATTGCAAATTACTAATTTATGTTGAAAACGCCTGTAAGAAAGAGATGCAGATCAGATTCTTTAAGTAATACCTGGTGAGAAGTGTCTCTTGGTAAGCCGGTGATTGTTCGCATTGTATCGAGATGGAGTTTTTCTAATTGTTCAAACTTTTCATTTGTACAGTTGTTTCAGGCGACACCTGCATAGTCAAATATTAGAAGGATATAAGATTTATATAGTATCTCGAGAGTTTTATGTTTTAATCTGTAGGCCCTATTTGAGAGACCGGAAACAGTTTACCATGGTACTTGTTTTGCTTGTTTTAGCTTGGTTATTGAAAAAAACGCCCAGATGTTTATGGGGGAAATCATCTGTTATATCATAGTTATATGAAAGATTGAATAGTGATGCGAACAGCTTCCTTGAAGAAGCCAGGCTTTTAGTTTTCTAAGGGTTGAAATCCACTTTCCAATTGATTGACCGGTTACAGATTCGTTTGATATCATAATTGAGAATTTGCTGAGTAAGAAGAGGATTATCAATTATGAGGAAAAGGGGGGTGTCGTCACCGAAGATGCGTATGCTGAAACTGATATCATCCACAATATCGTTTATATAGGCAAGGAAAAGTAGATAGAGCCTTGGGGAACTCTAGAAGTAAAAGCTTTTGATAATGAAAATTTACTACCTAAGACGACTTTCTGGGAGCGATTTTGTAAGTAACTAACAATAATTTTGTAAGTTTTCCCCCTAATACCTATTAATGAGATTTTATGTAGTAAGCCTCGGTGCCACACTTTGTCGAAAGCTTTACTAATATCGAGAACCAGTGGTTGCCAGGCAAGGTACGCCCACATTTTGCAACAGATGAAAACAGAACAAGCTATAAACAAAAGTGATTTTTCGTACATTCAGGGGCCAACCTTCATTGAAGTGTAACGGTGATATATTTAACCATTTTTTTTTTTTAAAATTGAATCCAAAATGTGACTTCTAGACGGTCCACAAGCTAAAAACGTGATTTTTCGAACAATCAGGGGCCATAATCCAGGAAGTTAAGTTCCAGTATGCGTGATTATCGAACGAAACCGAGATTTTTGTGATATAAACATAAATTTAAAATTTCATCAAAATCGGATTAAAATTGTGACCTCGAGAGGGTCCACAACCTTGATATGACATACTTTTACACTATTTGCGTTCAAGGAGCGGCCGTTTTGTCCGACAGTTTCTGTCCGATTTTCACGAAATTCGAACTCAACCCTTATTATGGTGTAATGGTGATATATTTAAACGGTTTTTTTTTTCAAAATCGGATAAAAATTGTGGCTTCTAGAGAGACCACATGCTAAAACGGGTTTATTCGTAAAATCAGGGACCATAATCCAGGAAGTTACAGTCCGATATGCGCGAATATCGTAAGGAACCGAGATCTTTGGCTTATAAACATACGTTTCAAGTTTCATCAAAATTTGATAAAAATTGTGAGCCCTAGAGTGTCCACAAGCTAAAAAAACCCATGACTTTTCGTACAATCAGGGGCCATGATCCATGAAGTTACAATCTGAAACATGCCAATTTCGAAAGGAATCGAGATCTTTGCGAAATACACCTATATTTCAAGTTTCGTCAAAATCGGATAAAAATTGTGACCTGTATCTAAGTATCCACAAACAAATTGTGAACGGACCCACGGACGGACGGACAGGGGCGACAAAAATACGTCCACATGAAAATGTGGGCGTATAAAAATTGCTTTCACTTCTAGCCCTTTATCAAGGGACTTACATATATAGTCGTACATCTCAATCAGTTGAAATACAGACGAACTTTGATGTTGAAAACCTGTTTGAAGGGGGGTAATAATTCCTTCTTTTAAAATGAAGTTATGAATATGTTTCTGTTGAAAAAAGTGATTCAAAGACTTTACCCAGAGAGCTTAGCATTGCAATGAGATAGGTCTGTAGTTGGAACAGTTGTGGATGCCACCTTTTATGTAGATGGGGATAATATTATAGATGCTGTTGTGACAATAGATTTTTGAATTATTATTTTAATGTATGATTGAGGTATTTTTTGGTCAAAAGATGACATAGAAAATCCAGTCCACATGATATGTAAGGCCTGAAGAGTTGTAAAGTTGAAAAAATGTGAAGTCTCTGAATTATTATACGAACATTGTCATTTTGATAAATTCGCACATGGCCAGGTTGAAAGTCCGCGCTGATCAATATTTTACGAACCAAGGGAAGTAACGCCATTTTGTGAAACCCTTCAAATAGGGATCAGACCAATTCGATTCTTGATTGTAATTTTGAAATGTTTGTATCTTTTCAATTAGAATAATTTGGTCAGAATTTGCTGTTTTCTCTCCTGTTGAATATGATTAAATATTCGTCTTTGAAGAAATATCGTACTGCGAACTGTATTGCTTGAAATATAGAAATAAACAGTGATTAATATTGAAATTTGGTGACTTTATAATAAACGTTTTAAAATTTTCTCGGGGGTCTCGAAGACCCCATACCCAGCGACGATCGATTGGTTGTTTGGGATCCAGGTAAGCCACCTAAGGTAGGCTATATTGGACCACATTTAAGTTGCTGTATTCACGGGCTGGAATAGCAGGAAAACACGTTTGCGGCAGTTAAATTTTCAAAATTTGCTGCCGATGGTCCCGTCTTCGTGGTTGATCGGAATTCGTCTCAGACCACTTACTGTATTCAGGGACTGGAATAGCAAGATAACGCGTTCGCGGTCGTCAAATTTTCTTGGGGCGTGGAGGGCGAGTCCCTATATATATAGACGTCTGTAACCCGACATTTTTTATGCCATTTTTGTTTCTGCCCCTCTAACATTAATCGAGTCCGTACGCCTATGGAGAGCGTATCCACAGTATCGGTTGCCGTGGCCCGTCAAGTGTAGGTACATCGGCGCCCCCAGAAGCATTTGCCGCGCCAACAATTTTGGGCTAGCTACGGGTCTGGTAACAGCCCCCCCCCCCACACACACACTCAACTTCAACTACACGAATAAATATGTAAAATAATGCTTTTTTTATGAGAAAAGTAAATAAAATAAAACCAAGTACGAACAATCCGGCGCCCCCAGAAGCATTTGCCCCGCTAACAATTTTGGGCTAGCTACGGGTCTGGTAACAGCCCCCCCCCCCCCCACACACACACTCAACTTCAACTACACGAATAAATATGTAAAATAATGCTTTTTTTATGAGAAAAGTAAATAAAATAAAACCAAGTACGAACAATCCAAACCATTAGACAAAATTCGAAGTCCTAAAAAAACGGTATAGGCAAAATAGTGTAATCAGCATATGGACAGTTCACCGTGTACAAAATACACGACAAACAGTGGTAACAAGTGTCCGGAAGAGTAAGCTTACCCTGTCTGGCGCCACACCCGCCATGGCTTCATCCAAACTATTAGTCGAAATCTCGGTAAAATAGCGTGATTGGCCAATGGACTATCGGTATGCAAAATGCACGTGATAAACTGTGTTAACGATGTAGTAGACAGACATTCACGATCGTGTGCTTCTTTATCCGTTATTACCAGGTGGTGGGATGGGATGGGCATTCAAAGCGCGAGATAATAATTTAGGCATGTAGTGGGGTGCCCAGGCACTCGGTCATTTCAAATTGACGCAAAAGATGGTTGGATGGGATTGGCAATCAAAGCGCGAGATAATGATTTAGACATGTAGTGGGGTGTCCAGGCACTCGGTCATTTCAAATTGATGCAAAAGATGGTGGGATGGGATGGGCATTCAAAGCACGAGATAATAATTTAGACATGTATAGTGGGGTGCCCAGGCACTCGGTTATTTCAAACTGATGCAAAAGTTTCGTTTTCATTACCAATTTGAAGGTAAGGGTCTATGGAACAATTCTTGTTCGAGTGTCAAGCATTCAGATACAATAAAAACAAGATGACCTCAAAATCCAAGATGGTTGCCAATTTCCAGCTTTTTTCGCATTACGCGTCATAACTTCTGTACTGTTGAACCTAGAATATACCTATCGGGTTAATGCGATATGATGATCGGGTGCCTTTATTGCCCGCGTATTTTTTTTTTATTCTGCTGTAAAAATTAAAACTACCGGAAAATTCACAACGAAACGAAGAAATGCCATGTGCTGATAATACGAGAAGGCGTATATTTTAAATGCCATGTAAAGGCATGTCTTCTATTCACTTAATTCATAAAACATGCATTATGCAAGAGCTAAATCTGCCTATTGCAGGTCTTTCTTTAGGCCTGAAATGTTTTCTAAAGTATTAATTAGTCATTAATTAACTGATCCAGGCCTTAATCAACTCTCGATGGCATCAGATTTCTCCGATATTAAATAGATTAGAATGGTTCAGCGATACTTTGATTTAATCAAATATGGAGGACCGAGACTTAGCTTCGATCAACCAGTACGGTGGTTGAAATTATTGCACACGTCTGTCAAACCTTCAAAGGCCAATATCTTCGCTTGCAATAGAGTAATTTGAATGAAATTTTCAAATTATTCATTTTACATCATCTACTTTCGAACTATTATAGCAAGAATGGCTAGTTCTTTATCTAAATCTTACATAATGTATCTTTAAATTTTTGCTTATATGTGTTAATAATTCTTCGCTGATAAAATTATGACGGGTTTTCTCCCAAAATTAGGGTGGGGGATGGGGGAGGGAGTTCTTTGGCACGTGTTAAAATCTATTTGACGTCTATGCGAGCCATGACATACCATAGATTGACTTGGTTAAGGGATTATGATTAAGTCCTAAAGATCTGAAAATGAACACACTTAGCTGCAATCAAGAACTAAACCCCCTGTGAGTAAAGAAAAACAAGCATCAAAAGAGAATGCAGCATGGTATGCCTTACAAACGGTACATTCGATTATGTTCACTAATGAAGGGAAGGATAGTGGATAGAACTGAAAGTATACTGAAAACTCCAAGAAAGAGAAAACGATCAATTCAAGATGCAGATTAAATGTCCATATAGTTCGTGATGACGGTTGGCGTATCGGCCTGGAATATGCTACCGCCAAAAACGTTCCCGGCGACCGTGTTGCAGTTTTCCTAAATTCATTTTGATAAATAAATAAAACGAAGACAAATTAATTAATTCTGAATATTATGGAAATATTTATCCGGCTGTGAAATCTATTCTGGGAGTCATCCGTGGAAACCAGGGTCTGATTGACCTTGTATGGGGTCCTTTATCTATGGTTCAGGCAGAATTGGTGCATTTTTCTCATTTTATGCACCCATTTAAACTAAACAGGGCTTATTTTTTTTAACGCGGTTCAAACAGAAGAAATAAATTCTAATGACGATCACCATTAACAAAACCTTATTAATACTATGGTTGTTTTCCTATGGGGGAAAGGTATGATATGCGACACCGATTCTTCCTGTTTGTACCTTGCCTTTCGAAGTCCATGGGACAATATATCTGTCAGTCTGACGTCGCCAACCTGAGAAATGAAAACTGAAGTTGACTCCCTGGCGTCACACATTGCGTTATCCGGTTCGCTGCCACAGTGGCTCAGTGAGTAAGGCGTTGGCTAGCTAACCTTGAGGTTTCGTATAGGCGCGGATTAAGGGATCGGCTGCCGGGGGCTGCCCAGAAAATTTTGAAAATTACATCGCCGTAGTTGAGATCATTCGGATGGAAAATATTCAATTGTTGCCTGGCAAAAGTTGGAAACAGCACCGAACGTGATCTATGCTTATAAAATAATAATCGTAATATAAATTGTTCAGTCTTCCCATTTTCAAAATATGTCGGACATACGACATTAATTTTTTTCTTTTTATATATGGAAAAATGCTTTGATGATTTTTTCTTTGATTTATTTTTACAGTAGAGCATAAACTATAATTTTAATTTACCCTAAATATTTCATTTTAGAGTGATAATAACATATATGAAATCAAATAAAGATAGTAAAAAATTAGATGATCCATACGCGGAAGAAATGAAGAATTTTACGGAAGATCATTAGGCTAGGATCATGACAAGTGAAAAAAATAAGATAACTAATCAAATAAAAAAAAGTGTTCTGAGTACCTCGTAATTCCGAAATAATTTACTTCAAGGTCGTTTTAAAAAGAGCATGAAATTAACGAATCATGATATACTATTCAAAAAAAGTAGGGGATATTTGATTTTTAAGTGTTATTAAAGTCACCTAATGAAACTGACGAAGAAACAAATGACAAAATGAAATGAAGTTCACATTCATCGATTTATTCCAAATGATCGTTAGACTAAGTAAGGCACAGACTGACCATTATAAGGGTAAAATGATACCCGGGGTCAAACAGCAAAGTTACCACAGCATCACAACCAAGTCAGTAACGGGTAAATCCTCCTCTGTTTGCCAAACAAGCATTGATCCGACGTGGCATACTCCTAATGAGACGTCTAAGGTCATTTTGGTCCAGATTGTCCCATTCCTGTTGCAACGCAGCAGCAAGTTCTTGGACATTGGCAGGACGTTGTTGACGTTGACGTAACCTCTGTCCAAGCATGTCCCAGACATGCTCGATGGGGGAGAGGTCGGGACTCAGTGCTGGCCAAGGTAATGTGGTGATGTTCTGTTGTTGGAGGTAACCTGTAACGATCCTGGCCCTGTGACATCTTGCGTTGTCATCCTGGAAGATGAAACGGCGGCCATGACGTCGTGCGAACGGCACAACATGGACTGCCAAGATGTTGTCCCGGTAGTACTGGCCTGTAACACGCCCTGCAACAACATGTAAAGCCGTTCTTACAGCAACAGTGATGCCTCCCCACACCATAACAGAACCACCCCCAAATCGATCATGTCTGATGACGTTAACGTCTTGGAAGCGCTCGTTTCGACGACGCCACACCCTCCTATACGTCTGTCCAAAAAATCAACAGTGAACCTTGACTCATCTGAAAACATCACATTGCTCCAGCGTCGATTATCCCAGTGTTGACGATCCCTACACCAACGACGTCTTGCCTGAATGTGATGATCTCTCAAACAAGGGATCACGCGAGGACGTCGGGCGCGAAGGTGACCCCTATGCAGTCGATTCCGAATCGTCTGGCCACTCACTCTCACACCAGTGTCTGTTTGAAGACGAGCGCTGATCTGATTTGCTGTGATGACACGATTTCTCAAGGCCAAGGTACGGATAAATCGATCCTGGGCTTGAGTTGTCGCCCTTGGTCGACTTGAGCGTGGTCTGTCCTGTACAGATTGTGTATCACGGTATCTGGACCATAGCCTGCTTATGACAGACTGAGAAACATGCATCGTCCGCGCCACAACCGCCTGTGTTGTGCCGATCTGTAGCATGCCAAGGGCACGTAACCTTTCATTTTGGGTAAGCCGACGCATATCAAAATTTGTTTTCTGGTCACTAAAACAATTAAACTGATGTTTCCACCCTGGAATTCAATGCCACAATGACTGTAACATTCAAAGTCAGAGTCGTGCAAATCTTGGGTTGGACCCCCATGATGATCCCAAGCATCACCTGCATTCCATGCGGTAGCTATTGGTGCGTTTGGGCGTCACATGTAACTGGAAATGTTTCTTCTGTTAGGTTCTATAGTGACTTTTTTCGTAGTCATTTGCATATTTTAGTATTATGCCCCCAAAATCAAATATCCCCTACTTTTTTTGAATAGTATATTATATTGATGGGGATCACGTGGCTAAGTGGGTAAGACGCTAGCTCGCTAGCCTGGAGGTAGGGTGTTCGATCCCTGCATTGGCCGAGAAAGTTCATCCAGATTTTCCGGCGAGGTTCTCCCTTGTCAGTGATGCAGGACGGAGGGGCTGACAAGGAAAGCTGTCTAGTCGTTCGGATGGGACGAAAAACCGAGGTCCCGTGTACACATTGGTGTGCACGTAAAAGATCCCTTGGCAGTTTTAATTCGATATAAGAGTAGGCCGTAGTGCCGCTGTCCGGGCAAAATTTCCCTCATAGCACACTGTATGGCGTATGCCCGTCTTCATTTGTCCAGGTTAGGAGCAGAACAGTAGGACGGTAAACTCCATTTAATTTCATTATTATATTGATAATGAAATCAACGTGAGTATGGAGTTGGTGGGAGTATAAACTTAATGAATGATTTTTAATTAAGGACATGAAAATAACGAATGATAATAATGAGAGCATGACATGAATGTGCCGATTCTGTATCATTTGCGTCATGAATAGGTGGGCGAATTATCTCTTAAAATTGGACGAATAGTCCCAGTTGTACGTGTTAGCTACGAAACGTCTCCACGCCATTCCGTGATCCACATTGATAACAATAACAGGAGTAGGACGAGAACGAATGAAACAGGACGGTGTCTTAATCTGTTGCCTCTTAGTTTTATTGTGTTATCAATTTTAGATTATTGTTGTGAGATAGCGGTTTTTATTGTGGATTTCAATATATTATCATTATGGAATTGAGAACAGTCTACAAACTGAATTGAAGGTTGGTAAATGATAATGATAATTAGAATATTTTATAGGTCAGATTATATTACGGAGAATTGACAATCACAATGGACATTTAAAGTAGCTAAGTCTCTAACTCAGTATCATCCAAATCTTCGACATTGAAAACACGAATTAGTTGTCAATTTAAACCAACATTGATGTTGTGATCTTACCGGGAAAAGGTGGCCTTCTCTGATATCCAATTTAAGTAGCTAAGTCTCTAACTCAATTATCATCCAAAACCTTCGACAATGAAAACACGAATTATTTGTCAATTTTAATCAACATTGGTGTTGTGATCTTACCGGAAAAAGATGGGCTTCTGATATCCAATATTTAAGACAAAATAAACATCTTACGATTGGTACACGAATCGTGTACCATAATGCATTTCAGCACAAATTGTAACAAGCGACTCGAAGAATGAGGTTAGACATATATTAATATTCCACACGTCTTGTCAAATGGTGACCCCATATTCTTATCTGGAGAGCATGCGCAATAAATACTATCGGTGTAGACTGGAATAACCAGACGTTAGAGATTGCCACTGGATTGAGACTTCTGGCGTATTTCGCCAAACATAACTTCTTTGAAATTAGAGTAAAAACAGAAACGATTGAATGTAAATCAATTTATTTACATTCATATTACATTATACGTTGCTACCCATTTGTGTCAATTTGTAAGTCCCAAATATTAGCGATTTAGCTCCTTTAAGACCAAATAAACATTTTACAATTGGTACACGAATCGTGTACCATAATGCGTTTCAGCGTTATTTTTAATAAGGGACTCGAAAAACGAGGCTAGGCATATTCCACAAGTCATGTCAAACGGTGACGCTATATTCTTATCTGGAGAGCATGCCCAATAAATACTATCGGCGTAGACTGGAATAACCAGACGCTAGAGATTGAAATTCAATTGAGAATACTGGCGTATTTCGCCGAATCTAACTGATTAGAAATTACAGTAAAAACAGAAATGATTGAATGTAAATGAATTTATATACATTCATATTACATTATTGTATGCGTTGCGACCCATTTGTGTCAATTTCTAGGTCCCAAATATTAGCGACTTAGCTCCTTTAAGATAAGTCTAAGACTAAGAGTAAGAAATAGGTCTCTACTCGGCTCTGGACTATGTATCTACTTAGTAGTAGTAGACACAAATTAAATGTGGATAATATTTGCTTCTTCATCTGCAGCATGTGCACTTTCTACACTGACGTATGTAACTGGATCAGTTGTCAACATCTGCGATGCTGAAACCAATCCAATGCCACTGCTCTGTCAAAAAAAACGTTATGTTCTCTATTAATTCAATTTCCAAAACACCCAGACACATTTAAAGACATAACCGGTACCTACATATTACTTCAAACTTCAACTTGGAAAATTAATAAAGGCTATTTTTATGTAGCCATTTTCATAGTCATGTTGAAAGTTGAATATCTTAATCTATAGGCTAAGAGTAATAGGCAACATCCGCAAAGTCTGGGCTAAAGCATTTGTTGAGTTTATAATCAGCCATTCAATCTAAATGTGGGTCCAGCCAATTTGTTAGCGTGCGCATTACATACACGTACAAGGTCTGTCATTTAGTCAAGCGGTATTGTTTTTATTCCTCCATTGTATGTGACAAGGAGTAGGGTTGCATGTCCAACCTGCAGTTTCATCCCACTGCTAAAGACCTCTACCACAAGTGAATTATTGAAATAAAATTGAACAATATTAGTCCCAAGATGGCCTGGTTTGTGTCAAGTTGACGTTAAACCCCATTTCTCTCTCTTCCTCAACAATCTAACCAATGTAACGGATAGTATTAGTAGTCAATGTATGTTGTGCAATTGTTTAGCTGTTATATGTACATAGTGCATAATACAATCATATTATTATTGAGACGCTAATGTTAGTACATTGTAAGTTTTAATTTAAGCAGATTTTTGTGGGTTATCCTCAAGGGGCTGATCATTCATGAAATCTTTCTCTTATCAAAACTTTCATGGTTCATCAGGATGTTCCGATATGGTTTCCCCTTGTCAGTGGTGCAGGATGGAGGGCCTGACAAGGCCAGCTGTCTAGTCGTTCGGATGTGACGAGAAACCCAGGTCCCGTGTATACATGTACATTGGCGTGCACGTAAAAAATTTCTTGGCAGTTAGAACTCAATATAAGAGTAGGCGATAATGCTGCTGCCCAGGCAAAATTACCCTCATAGCACACTGCATGGCATATGCCCATCTTCTTTAGCCCAGTATAGGAGCAAAACAGTAGGACATTAAATTCCATTTCATTTCTATTATCATGTAACTTTAATATAATTATCCTATTAAGTATTATCATGTGTGATATGCCTCTTGGAAAAATAAATAGATAAAATGGGTTTGCAAAGTTGATTACAGCTATATGGTAAAAACATAAAGAAACTCTTTGTTTATACATGTACAGTAGTAACACCCTTGCGTCTATTTTACTCTACAAGATACAAAATGTACTAGATCGTCCGAGTTATAATTATTCTGTTAATACTGGTAAAAATTAATCTAACCTTCTTTCTATCAGTATCACCAAAGAGTTTTGAAGATGTAATGAATTAAAATGAAGAAAGAGTACCCTATCAATTACATGAATCAACAGGTTGCTTCAAGTCTAAGCTTATTTATCTGATTTACACATACATACACAGTTGATAAACAAAAGATCATTACTTAGGATACCGGTACCCAAAATATGGTCTACGTCAAAAAGTCTTTAAGGAGCTATTTTTAAACCTCTAACTCAATATTTTTCATATACATGTATAATAATACCGGTATATATATTCAAAATTGAAAACACTACTGGTATTTAGAATTCAATGTTGGTCCATTTCACTCAAGATTGATCTTGTCAAGAAACCCGATCCTAATATTCAATATTTTTTTTAAGACACAATTAAACAAGCATTATGTACGAGCTAAATCTGCCTATTGCAGGTCTTTCTTTGGGCCTTAAATGTTCTGTAAAGTATTAATTAGACACAATTAACATGACAAGACCATAATCAACTCTTGATACCATCGAATGGGTCTGATTTTAGATAGATTAGAACAAATCGGAAATTTATTGATTTAATTTAAAATGGAGAAGCGAGACTAAAGACTTGAATGACCCGTATTACATATTGATATAGCTCAAAATAAAGTAATTTGAATGAAATTTTCAGTATCAAAATCTTACATACTCTACATGTAAATTGTAATGCCCTTTTATTTTAACATTTCAAAACCAATATATGAGTCGTATATTCTATGGTTCTGGGCACCTTTATTATAAACAAAGTAAAACATATTCTACGTACAAGACCATGTAGAAGTAAAATTTAGTAATGGCTGATTCTGTGTAGAATGGACTAGGTAGGCGTAAATGACTGTCGTTTAATTTGGACAGTTCATGTATTTCACCGAACAAAATCGATTAGAAATTACAATTATTCTTTTAAAATTGATTATAAATCACTTTATACATTCATAATACTTATGGGATTTTAGACACATTTTCGTCTATTTTAAGTTGTAATAATAATACTAAAAATAGTAAATTTTCTACATTCTACAAAATCGATTAGAAATTACAATTATTCTTTTAAAATTGATTATAAATCACTTTATACATTCATAATACTTATGGGATTTTAGACACATTTTCGTCTATTTTAAGTTGTAATTCTCTTCACATAATAATACTAAAAATAGTAAATTTTCTACATTCTGCATGCACCGGTTTGGACCTTATAATGTACTGGTACATGTGTACATTTAGACAAAGACCTTATTAATTATTAAGTAATTAAGAAAATTATTTTAACCATACTACATGTATGTACAGTCTAAAATATACCATTTTTATACGCCGACATTTTCATGTGGACGTATTATGCCATCGCCCCTGTCCTTCCGGACGTCCGTCCATCCACAATTTGTTTGTGGACACGCTAGAGGTCACAATTCTTATTTGATTTTGACGAAACTTGAAATATAGCTTTATCTCCAAAAGATCTCGGCTGCTTTCGATATTTTCGCGCATATCGGACCATAGCTTCCTGAATTATGGCCCCTGATTGTACGAAAAATCGCGTTTTAAGCTTGTGGACCCTATAGAAGTCTTAATTTGTATCCGATTTAAAAACCCCTATTATTATATCACCGTTACACCCTAAGGACGACTGAGTTCGAATTTTGTCAAAATTGGCCCAAAATTGACAGACAAAATGGCCGCCGTTCGTTCTCAAATAGTGTAAGAATATGGTATATCAAGGTTGTGGACCCTATAGACGTCACAATTTTTATCCGATTTTGTTGAAACTTGAAATGTAAGTTTATAACCCAAAGATCTCGGTTTCTTTTGATATTTGCGCATATCGGACCCTAACTTCCTGAATTATGGCCCCTGATTGTACAAAAAATCACGTTTTTAGCTTGTGGACCCTATAGAGGTCATAATTTTTATCCGATTTAAAAAACTGTATTATTATATCACTGTTACACCCTAAGGACGACTGAATTCGAATTTCATGAAAATAAACCCAAAATTGACAAACAAAATGGCCACCGTTCTTTCTCAAACAGCATAAAAAAATAGGGTAAATCAGGATTGTGGACCCTATAGAGGTCACAATTTTTATCCGATTTTGTTGAAACTTGAAATGTAAGTTTATAACACAAAGATCTCAGTTCCTTTCGATATTCGCGCATATGGAATTGTAATTTCCTGAATTATGGCCCTTAATAGTAGGAAAAATCTCTTTTTTATTAGCTTGTTCTCTATCCATCACTCGAAAATGTGGGCGTATCCTGCCTCAGGCTGCCTGGCAGCCGCTGGTTCAAATTTGTTGTGACTAGTATTGAAAATGGTACAGAACATAACCATTGATGTTTTATTGAGATATTAATTTGTTGAATTATTATATGAGGAATCATTTGGGATAGACAGAGCTACATGTAATATT